GTAAAGTAATAAGTTCTGATAAGGAATCTTTTTCTAATGTTATATCAAAAATAGGTTTGGAATTAATAGTTTTGACATCTTTGGTTTGATACTATTGAATTATTATCTTTATTATCTTTATAAACCTTGTAGAGTCTTAAAATGTATAAAGCTATATATCTGTTGCAAAAATAATTGTTTTGAATTTTAAAAAAGTATCCTCCCAAAATGCTTATATGAAATAAATATGGTATGGCGAATGGCGCATGCATGGACAAAATCATCGCTAAAAGGATAAAACCCTACTTAAAAATAGCAAAATAATATTTTGTTCCGGAACATTTTATTCTGTTGACCTACATTTTTCATTTGTATTAAATTACAGAGATATTCTATGTTACAACTTTTTCGGGAATCAATCATATAATAATGAAACCAATATAATTTTAGTGTTTATCAAAATATTTCTTAAGATATAGATTGATACACTTTAAAAGAAATCTCTTGTTCCTCCTTAAATGTATATCTCAATTTATTGTATGTAAATGCATAAATGTTTTGTATTGTGAAAAAGAATCTGTACAAAAAACAAAACAGAACAAAACAAAAAACAAAATACAAAAAAAAACTATTTCGTTAATAAACCATAACAAATTGTTTTATTAAAACAATGTACTTTTACTATTTACATTTTTTAGAAATGTTTCATAAGATACAGCTTTATACCCTAGAATTATTATGGACCAATTCAAATTCCAAGCAGGAACTTTACTTTATAAAAGCATTGTTTCGTCTAAAGAGTACCTTTTTTGAAAGACGAAGAACTGGATTAAGCTATTTTATTACATTTAATCTTTTTCAATTAAATTAAGAGTACTGCAAGCATATTTTTCGTAACAGCCTTCTTCCGTTACAGCTGAATATCATTGTGTATTACCGCCGAATCTAACTGGCAGACCCTTGTGGCCGAGAGATTGCTTTTAAGGGCTTGAGCACCAGCTGTGCAGCTACCGTTTATCCCTGCGTATGAGGCAACTGAATGCGTTCGAATAACTGGAGTCTATGCATCTGTAAGTACCAGCAGGTGAGGTGGTTTTGAGCCCTGGTATTGCTTAGAAGTCTTTTCGGCGCCATATGACCTTAATTGTATTGAAATGCAGTAAAACGAAACACACCAAACTAAGTGGCAGAAAAAGTCGTTGTAGCGCCACTTTCTCTTGCATGTCTGAGAGGAATTATCAGCATTAACTTGATGAAAACTGTTGATTTATTATTTCACTATTATTATGACACACATTAATGATTGGTCACAAAACAAACCTTCGGATTAAATATTTCATTGATCAGAAGTACATCATAAACCAGTATTAGTATTATCATGTATCAAAAAAAAAATAAAAAAAATAAAAGATAAAGATTTTTTTAATTAACTAACATTATTAACAAGAAAGCACGATATAAAGTAAGACAGCATGACAATCAATTTATTTTAACCTATACAATCATATTGAATTAATGTGCATATTTTAAACACAAAATATGTTTTGCTATTGTTATGCTTTTGATACATTAACTAAATTGTTAATTAAAGGAACTCCACTGAGATTTTTGTCATGACAAGACTGAAACTTTTTTTTAGAGATTTGTGTACCGTTAGATGTGAACCTATGTACATTATTTCAGATCATTCATTCCCTCCGTTATTTGAATTGTGCAAAATGACCTAAAACTGAAAAGTGTTTAAACAACTTAACTCTCATCGCATAGAAAGTTTAGTCCATTTTGTGTATATTTCTTTATTTTCTCTTGCTTTTCCTGTTTAAAGTAACCACTTTAATCTATCTCAGTTATTTTAGGTACAAATGCTATACATTGGCATAAATAATCAATTATTTCTCATAAAACAACTAGTCAAACAATATTTTACAACTTTCCTTACATTGTTTTCAAATTATTTTGTGTTAACAATAAGTATTATGTTATCTTAAAATATTTTAAAATATCTTTTTATTTATTATATTACATTATCTTAAAATTTTTGAAAATTACTTTGCAAATAATATTTCATTATCTTAAAATGTTTGTAATAATATAACAATACTTTTGATATTTCTATTCATTTAATTACCATTTGTTTAATACAAACATGCAATTGACTAAATATATGGATAGAACAACATTAAATGTTAAATGTTTATCGAAGTAATGCGTGAATGGCTCAGCACGCAACATTTTTCCTCTTATAGAAGAGCAAATTTATTCTCGCATAGACCTCGGAACTATATAAACATGTACACAATATCACACATTATAAAGAAATGGGAGTAGTGTAATCAATGTGCGAGTTTGCAGAGTAAGAGGCTCATCATTGATATGTTGTGCATTAACAATTACATTATAAACATTCCCTTTTATGAAACTATTATAACTATTATAAGTTTAAACTACATAGCTTTCAAACAAAATGTTTAATAGAAGTATAAAAATTAGGTATTCATTAGAGATTTAATGTGTATATGGACAAGACAAGTGCATGTAATCATGACATTCAAAACATCGGCCAGTGCTGGTACATCGCACATGTGGTTATGATTAAAATAGTCGGGCTCATCAAAAAGGCATACAATACAATATAATTAATATAGAAACCTAATCTACTGTATATATTTTAAAGGCACATTTTTGCTCAAAATTATTTTTATATTTTTTTCTTTCTCTAGAAAGAGCAAAAGTTATAATAATGGTTTAAGACTCTTAAACCATTATTTAAACTTTTGCCCTTTCTAAAGAACGAAAAAAATATTAAAAAATTCTGAGCAATAATGTACCTTTAAAATATATAAGAGCATGTTAGATGGTTGTTTTCAAATTATTTTGGCTTAAGACTCTTAAACCATTATTTAAAAAATATTTAAAAAAAATCTGAGCAATAATGTACCATTATAATATATAAGAGCATGTTAGAAGCTAATCATGAGAAATGTAACGTTGAATGTATGATCATAAAAGTAGAAAAAATGTAAACAAAACGGTATTTTGACTTCTATGCAAAGTACTTCATCACTATGATAACCATTACGCAAATAAGCAAAAAATGATGCAATTAAATGATAAACAAGAAACAAATAACAAAAATGAAAACAAAAGCATTACTGGGGATTAAGTGTCCTGAAACAAAAACACTCAACCTTATTTGAATATGGATCATGCGGATAATTGCGACACATTTCTTTTTCCTTTTTCAGAAAAGTGTTTACAAAAAATACTTTCAACATTCAAGTAATTATAAAATGATAGCAAATCAAAGTCATTGTTACAGGTAAAGTGGCAGAATATTAATACAATGATAACAAGTGTAAAAGTTTACAATGCACAGACTATTATTATTTAACTTAAATGTATCTAATATAACTATTTACAAGAAAATCATATGAAATTAAATCTGTTTAAAATTTAACTACGTCAATATTGATCAAACTAACAGGTCATTGTTTGTTTGTTTTGGGTTTTACGTCACATCGACACAGTATAGGTCATATCGCGACGTTCCAGCTTTACTGGTGGAGGACCTCAGGTGCCCTTCCGTGCATTATTTCAGGCACGAACGGGCACCTGAGTAGAACCGCCGACGTTCCGTAAGCTAGCTGGAAAGCTTCCTCACCTGAAAGAATCCAAAGTCCCTGTCGGGATTCGAACCCACAGCGGTGAGGGGCAAGTGGTTTGAAGTCAACGACCTTAACCACTCGACCACGGACGCCCCAACAGGTCATTGAATGATTTAATGAGATAACCAGCACAAAAAGGCATCAAATTAATTTTGTGTTGCAATACAGTCCGGTTAACAATACTCAAAGGCAAAGGAACTATACATGGCAATTTGTCATACTTATTAGTTTTCCATGATTGAAAATATTTTGTGATATTTTAGAGTTATTAGATAACCTTGAGACTGGTGTAACTTTTTGTTAATAATATATATATATATATATATATATATATTCATGCGAACAAGTAGTGATACTGACATTTTAATTAACGTCTCATCATGTAATTAAAGTTGATGAACTGTATACCAAATAAATTTTGCTTTGTCTGTCACCCAGCTTTATCCGCAACTTTATTATAATTAAACATTTAAATGAAAAGAAGAGAACGGATTTATTTAGCATCCTACTTGTTTAAAAATATTTAACTGATCAAAAGTTGAATCGAAACGAATATTTAGCAAATTGAAATTTTAAACATGATAAATAGAATACTAGAAATATCAGTCTGAGAGCTCTATTTTCTAAACCTTGCCTGATAAATTTCATAACATCAATCACAAGTATTGGTATTCTTTATTTATGCTAGCGTCTTCATATGGCTGACAGCATGCGTACACATATATGTACGACCATGAATATCAAAAACATTTTTAATAGGACGGGTAGATGGGGAAATAATATGTCAATAATTACTAAATTGCAGCCACCGTTTATCCCAAGGTGATCGTTAGCGGCGACTAAATGGGTTCAAATGATTGGAGTCTATGGTCTCTTAGCTGCATCAGGTCAGGTGATTATTACCCTTGGTGTTACTTTAAGCTTGTTACACCCGAGGATAACCAAAGCCTGTTCCCTTTTTTCAGTGCTATATGACCTAAATTGTAGTTGGGCACCGTAAAATCAAACAATACAAACAATTCCAATGAATTGTTTTACATAATAATATTCAGATTTTTTTTTCAAAATTTTATAATTAGCACATTGTTTCTTATGTTCATACATTCCCTTACAATGCCGTATTAGGTCAAAGTATATTTGCGGCATATTAAAGTATTTCTTTATGAAAATGAATAGCTATAAAAGATTAAATGGAAAGATTTGCAAGTGTTATATAACTGGTCGCAAATACTGAAACATTTAATCTGTTTTCTTCTTCAACTATGTTATACTAAACTAGTTTCCGAAAACTTTAAAATAGCACAAATCATATCCTTTACATAATGGAACACATCCTTCTTTTCTTGACAGATTTACTCAGTTCATCATAATTAGCTTTTAGCTCTGCTAGTTCTTTCTCCAGATATAGATTTCTTTTTCCGTGCTCTTCCATAAGAATGCGCTCAAGTTGGCATCCCATCCTATTGTTTATTTCGTTTTGAATTTTATCTGAGAAATAGTGACAAAAAGACCGTTATAAAAATGACGAAAATACACATGATATGGGTAGGATATTTTCTTCACTATACATTATGTACCTAAACTTTTGTATTCTGATTTTTACTCGTACCATTTTTTTGTCAAGGGATCAATTGCTTAAAGGACCAGAGTATATTAAAGAAAAGAATTATACTACCTAATATATACTTTTATAATATTATTTTGAAGAATAAACGCTACTCGGCATTTGACGCTAGTCAATAAAGAGCATACTTTATAACTAAACTTTATAGTGAAAAACAAAATAGGGTTATTTTGGTTCGGCCCCAACTTTAACGGGGTCGATGCAAATTTTTCGAACATCGATTATTATTCGGAAATCTGAGTCTCTTAAAAATTATGTTGACATATTATGTTTTACGCTTTGAATGTGTATATTTATTTATCTTTCATGATTGTTTCTATAAACAAAATATAGTACCGTATTGGCCTTTGTTCTTTTGTCCAGTTGCAATGCGGTACAGTGTCATCTTATCATCAGATTTGCTCTTCGTAAACTCGTCAAAGCACTTAAATAGCTGCGAAGAAACAATCATTTGCATGAGAGATTTTAAAGGTATCTAACATTTAACTGAAACAACTTTAATTTATAAGAAAACAAAACGTCTGTTTCTAGATGAAGTATAAAATGTATTCATTTAATATGTGATACTTTGTTGGTAAGCTGTAAAAAATTAAAAACAAACTGCACTTAAACACAATGGGAACAAACGTATTGTAATGTTATTGGGGGTAGAGACAAAGAAAATATTAATCTCCGCTCCCATATCCCCAATTTTAAGCAGTGAATTTCAAACATGACGAATCACAAACAAGATATTTGCTTCAAAATGATTATCACTCAAAAATGAATTTTAAAGAAGAAAATAATAAAGAACCCGAAAAAGGTCTCATCTATTTTTAGTATGTATGCCTACATGGCGAATCTTTTAAGGTTCACTCAAGTTTGTACAAAGAATCAAAACATTATTTGTAAGAAGCAACTAAGTCTTACAACATCTTTGTCATACTTCTTCTTCGCTTCGAAGAACTCCTGTTTTAGTTGTTCCATGTCAGTTTCGTAGTTACAGTAAGCTGTCTCACCCGTCATGTATCTACTTTTGTTTTTCCTTAACATGTCATCATACATTTTCGACAATTTCTTCGTTCCCTTTTCCATGCATGTTTTACTTATTTCGTTTTTCATCATATCTAAATGTGCCGTCATTTCCGCCTGTGAGAAATTATAACCTTTATTTTTCAATCAAAATAGATTTTTAAGTCCAACAAAACAATCAGTAGCAAATCTAGATTTAGATTTCAATTCTAGATGCAGTCCATCTCATAATTTCTATATTATACTGAAATTAAACAATATGTATTATAGATGTTTTTACAAAACTATATTTCCATAGAAACGGAAGTACCATTTCGCGCGTGCGAATTCTGCAAATAATGTATGGGAAGGTGCATTCTCTATTACTGGCTAAGTAAAGTTGGTCCTTTCTTAAAAAAAACTGTGTCTTTTTAATGACACTATATAGTCATATGGTTCCCATCTATGGTGTTATGTTAATACGAAATACAATAAGGGCATCAGTGATAACACAAGATAAAAATGTAAAATGAAAATGTAAATACTCATATACCCAAAAATCTATGTCTATTCAATAATTATTTTTAGTTTAAATATAATTTTCTGATTTTGATGTTCATGCGATTTACTTTATATTTTCATGCTGCATTTGATGTGTACTTAACCAGTATGTTATGCATGTCATTACCACCAATGTCAGCATCGTCATGTGGAAATAAAGAGTATATCTACCTATATTTTAAAAATGTGTTACGAAAAACTGAATTATTTCGCAATCCATAATGGAAATGTTCTTAACTTCTCAAGATTTTGTAACATCACTTAAACATATATTTGACTGTTTAGCATCACAGTCAAATAGGATTAATTATATATTCAGGCAAACCTGAGACTTAAAATGATTTTAGTCACGGGACAAATTGTATGAATACCAAACAAAACATGTTCATGAACGTGCATTATCACATGTTCTGCATTTTGTTTTTCAGAATGATAATTAATTACGATTTCACATGAACTATTTCAAGAAGAATAAAGTAGATATTTTTATTACTAATAAATATATTTCCACATTTTTCACAACTTATTTATAATTGTCTATAAACTTCTACTTTATTTGTATCCAGAGCGATAATATTATACCCTAAGGACCGCGTGGTAAAAGGGTATACAATCATAATTATAATAAAGTATGCGAAAATGTGATGACAACAGGCATCATTTACATGTTTCAGTTGAGATTTTTTTTATTTCAATGTATTCTTTTTAAAATGAGTTAATTACTGAATCAAATGTTTATTTATGTATCAGTCATTCCATTTATACATAGGATGCACGGGATTCTTATTTAAGTGCAACTGGTTTCAATATCATTCAACCAATTTTTCCGATTTATCACATGTTTGACGTCTCAAAAAGTTATTATTGATCGTTTCAAGATTATATGCAGTTCCAACAGAATTAATTATTTTGAAGATCATTTAAAATTGCATTTTTTTATTCTTCGGTGATGTATTAATAAAATACTTTTGAAAACTGATTACGTCAATAGATTTAACATTAAAAATTCATAAGTTAGAAAAATAGTGGGCTAAACAAAAATTAGTCTCTTTACCATTAGCTTTTCTTCATACTCGTTTTGAAGGTACACAAATGAGCCTTCACGGTATGCTGAATTCACGCGATCAAACGTTGGGAGAAACTTGTTCTGAAGCTCCTCTTTGTTGCGTATATTTTTGAATTTTTCCATGTCTTTCTTGAACTTTGTAAGCACCTTCTGTAAAACGCGCTCGTTACGCTGAACAGACGCTTGTCCATAAGCATCTTGACACTTCAATGGACTACCTTTCCTCAGTGAATTTACGTAAAACGTGATGAGAGATGTTAAATCTTGAAAAAATAATGCCATAGACGAATTAGTGCATCCTTACAGTAAAGCGTACTGTGTTAAAGTAACATACTCATCCTAGTGCAAATGATGACTGCAAAGGTAAAAGTCAAAATAACTACATTTTGACACAGTTTTGTTCAATTTAATCAAAAATTCATGTGACCCACGGAAATGTCTACTAAAATCGTTCAGAAGTTATTGGTATTGTTCAGTCTTATAAAGAGCGGGCAGTCTTTTTAATCACTCTTTAGGTATCTTTTATATTGGCCATTGGCTAGGATAAACAACAAGATTATCCGAGGCGAAGTTGAGGATAAATTTTTGTTTGTCCCAGCAAATTGTCTTCTTCACGTCTGTTAGAAAACACTTTTGAAGAAAATACGAGTAATTGTATCTGACTTATACGACGATTAATAGTAAAACACAGATAAATAAATATACAACTTTAATAAAATGTATTAAGATGTAATTGAAAATAAATTGATGATACTTCTTGTTGAAAGCATAAAACTACAGAAAACTATGCATGGCAAATTGTATTCCCAAGAATAGTTTTGAGACGTAATTCATTTTTTTACATATAAATGTTCTGCATCATTTGCAAGGCGACTATGAAATTGTTGTTTGTACAGGCAGGGGAATTTTGTCCCCTTTTTATTAAGTTGAACACTTAATAATTAAGAGTAAGGAACGAAGTGCGCATGTGTAAACAGAATATAGTAGCCCCACCCTATTTGGGCGACGTGACATTGGTAAATATTTAAGCGAGAACCAGGTATACACCGCTTTTTATGGCGTTTTTTGTTTTGTTTTTAATAACTCCATGGAGAAAATAGAGACAAACACAAGCATTTTAGACATTTTGAATTAACATTATATAATTTATTGTTCCAGTGACTTCAAACTGACTGGCTTGGAAAATAATAAATATTTTTATGACTGTGCTCTGTAAAACAATGTGCATCTAACTGTGTAAAATAATTCTTAAATTTAACAATAAGTGTCTTTTTAATTAGATGAAAACAATTGTCAGAATAATCATGCAGTTTATATGTAGATATATATATTTTACAACGAGTTAATATTTCTCTACAGTGATATATTGTAGATGAAACAACGAGTTAATATTTCCTTACAGTGATACATTGTTAGACGGCGCGTAGTACATATGCATTTGTCCGTATAGCAATGGGGAAATTTCAGACTTGATTTTGTGGATTTTTTTTTGATTTTTGTTTGTTTTTTTTGTTTTAACAAAATCAAATTTTCTAATAGAAATAGCTTTTCTGATGTACAACATGTTCCAGAGCTTTAAGAGATCAAAATAAACGTTTAACAGCCAAACGAACGTGTGCGGCATGTTATTCATTTAAATAATTAACATTTAAGTTACAAAATAGATTAACTGAGTGAAAAAGTTCGATTATTTTAAAACGTATCACAAATATTTGCAATAGGTTATTTTGAAGGATTGATTCTGTGACCAACGATTGCTTTGCCTAGATTTTTTATTACATTTTGTGGTCCAATATCTAGATTCTAGGCGAATATGATTCGAGTAGTTTAATCTTTTATAAATAAGTAAACACTACGTAACAAAGAATTGATTATATATATCAATTTATTCATAACTATTATTTGATATTACAGACATATTTTCGCTATTTGTAAAATAACAGACAGTTCGTCCTCAAAATTATTCGAACATTGCGCACCAATATTTAACTGGACATACGTCTTTTCTTGACTAAAGACGTTTCAAATACAAAACGAAACTAATTAATGCAATACAAGACGAGTAGTTTATTTAAGTAAAAGTGCAGCCGGGTCACATCATACATTTATACATGTAAATGAAAAACATTTTTTAGGAACATGTCTCGAGATCTAACAGTAAACGATCTATGAATACATTTCTAAATTCAATACAAATATAACTGATTAAATATCAGCTTTATACATGTATATCTACTGGTTTTGATATTACAAATGAAAATACCATATACCTGCGAAAACATGTTAAAACATTCCAAAATATTTAACTAAACTTCCGTACAATTTAGTGAAACTTGTAACCAAAATATAACACAAAGATTGAATGACGAACCGACTCGCCCAGGTAAAAAACAGAGGTAAAAACATTTTCTAAATGAAAATAGCTCTGGAAACCATGTGCCCATTTGTCAATGTCGGGCCTCATTCCTTGCAGGTATATGGTAAAGCATCATAAATGTAGCATAACATATATACAAAATATATTGAGCGTTACACTTGCTATAATATTTTCAACAAGGAAAACGTATTTCATGAAGTAAAATACAACTTTTCATTTTCTTTTTTAACTAGTGCGTGATTAAAAGCCTGCTATAATGTATGTATTGTAAAAAAGCTTACTGAAAGTATGTGATTAAAAGTTGAAAAATCAGGGGAAAAAATCCACTTTTAATATTACACCACGAATAAAAATGATATAAAATTGAAAGTGTACTTTGTTAGAAATCGTCTGGGCAGAAGTGAATAAAAATATTTACACTCCGTATTTATAACCCAGATATAGATAGCCTACTCGAAAAAGCACGATAATCTCGTGCACAACTGACCATTACCTCCAAAACCGTAAACTATGTACGTTTCAAGAAGACAACTATTTCACGCTAGACTACGAAACGCGTGAAATTAATATTCTCGGCACATATTGTCTTGAATTTACTTTCAGTTTACCAATCATTTCAATTTCATTTGTTATCCAATTTATTTTGCTTCGACCAGACGTTTCAATCTTTGTCGCAACAGACAAACATTTCAGAATTTCAGACACATACCAAGAACATGGAGAAAAAATAATAAGTACTTCAGATATTCAACTGTAAAAGAGAACGATTTTCAATCAGATTTTGTACATTACATGATTTGGCGGCGTCTTTGATGTGCAGCATCAACATATAACTTGTTTTAGATGGAGTATAAATATCATGTTTAAACCTGTTGCTTTGCGTATATTAAACTCATATATATGTAAATGTCAAATCGTTAAAAACAGGACATATGCGAGTTTAGAGAGAGATTTTACATCAGTTAAGGAGAGACACGCTGATAACGCTGATAGTGTTTAGCGTTTATTTTTTTGTTGAGAAGAGAATTTGTTGTTTTGAAGAGAGTTTTGTTGATTTGCTGAAGTTGGTTGAATATAATTGTGGTGATCTTAATTGATCAGGGTTTATTGGTTGTAATTAGTTGTTTTGGTGGTTGAGTCAAATCTGTTTCTGAAGATATAATTGGTTGATATTGGTTGAATGTTTTGTCTTGTCAAGATTATATTAGTTGATGCGTTGTTTTGAGTATAAATATAAATATGTTGTGCTTTAGTTTGCTTTTCTGATGCTAATTAGATTTTGTGAAGTTAATATTGTTGGTTGAATGTTTGTAGAGTTGTAAAATATTCATATTTGTGTTCTTCATTTTGTGGTGATTTCATTGTTTTGTTTGATCATAAGTTGTTTAGTGCTTGGGCTCGCCAGGTGTCTAGTATTGTTTCGTATAAAAGGCGTATACTTGAAAGATATTTCGTATAAGTGGTTAATAAATGATGTGTGTTTGTTTTTTTGGGTGTAAATATTAATCAGAGTTTGTTGTTTAAATGTATATAGGATTTGACATAGAAAAAGATAAAATACCTACAAAAATAATAGTGTTAACTAAACAATTACATGCTAGGTCTCCAACTGAGAATATTTCAATCTTAAGTCAGGCGGTGCTGTCCGGCCACCATATGTTGGAAATTGGTTCTAGTATTTATTGCTAAATCTTTCCTTAGATTAAATAACATCAAGGCAGTCATTCTCCTGACAACAATTACTCTTTTTTCTAAATATTTGAAATCTATTTAATTGTAAATTCTCACCTAGCATAATGACAATTGTGTTTACAAACAAATACAAACAACAGTAGGGATTAAAACAAGATATGTGTGTTAAACATGTATACCCCCTTTCGGCAGCCAATTAGTCTTGTGACCAGTTTATTATGACTGACTAACCTAGTGACAAACAATCAATAAGGGTTATTAAACTGGTCATGACTAGTCACAAGGTAACTGTGACCGCAAAGGTTGTGTGCAGCAATTTTATGACAAAGTTATTACAAATCTTACCAAATAATATATGCATAAATTTTATGAATCATGTAGGCCTCATAAATGACAACCAAGTTGTCATATCACATAAGACCTTAAAATGTGTATACCAAAAATATTTTTATTAAAAAAAATATCAATCAAGGCAAATTGAGTTGTTAAGTTATTGTTCAGAAACAGTCTTTACATACAAGGTGAATATGACATTGACCTAAAATGATCCTTAAATCAATAGGGGTTATCTACTGGCCAAGACCAATGCACCTATGAAGTTTGAAGGTAAAGGGCCCATGAGTTGGGATATTGATCAGAAAGCGTTGTTAGCAATAAGGTCAATGGATCAGAAAAGCTTGAAGGTTTAGGGTCCATGGGTTGTCCAGTTATTGATAGAAAACCATTTTGAAAGACAAAGTCAATGCAACCTTGACCTTTGACCCCTTAACCCCAAAAACAATAGGGGTCATCTACTGGGAAACACCAGTGCATTTACAAAATTTGAGGGCCAACAGCCCATAGCTTGTGAAGTTATCGATTGGAGACTGTTTTTACTACGAGGCCAATGCAACCTTGTTCTTTGATCCTTTGACCCCAAAATCAGTAGGGGTAATCTGCTGGTCATGAACAATCATCATACCAAGTTTGAAGTTCCTATGCCTAATCGTTCTTAAGTTATTGATCGGAAACCGTTTTTACCTACAAAGTGAATTTGGCCTTGACCTTTGATCCATTGACCCCAAAATCAATAGGGGCCATCTGCTGGTTATGAACAATCACCATATTTAGTTTGAAGTTCCTAGGCTTAAGCGTTCTAAAATCATTGATCGGACACTGGTTTTACTCACAAGGTCAATGTGATCTTTGCCCATT